CAGGGCGCCCTCCCAGCCTGGGGGGGTTCCGAGGACCAGGGAGGAGGCCGGCACACGGAGCCGGGCAGACGTCTGCCCGTCTGCCCGCTGCCACGCGACCGGCCCCTCGGGAGCTGCCGCTGGCTTTCCCCACACCCTCTCTCCCCGTGGTCGGCAACCCGGGCGAGGGGCTGCGGGGGGGATTTCAGTGAGGGGGCGCACGCAGGGAGCTGGCAACTTGGCACAACTTGTTCAGAGACAGCAGAGCACTCTGCCGGGGCCCACTGTCCTGGTGCGTGGCTTACTGCTCACCCGCTGAGCAAATATGTACCCAGGTTCCTCCACGACGTACCCCCTGCCTCTGTCTAAAGTCACCTGCGAGCCGGCATCTTAACACCCTGCCCCTCAGAGCACACGCCCTTGGGCCCGGCTAGGGAACTGCACCCAATTCACTTTTGCACCAATTAGAAAGGGGACACTTTTCCTGGTAGAAAGTTAACGTACAGCTAGTCTAGCTCTCGCAGGGGCGTTGCAGCAACACTCCTGCAATAGCGGTAAAGGGTCTGTGTTAGTGTCATGTGCCCCGTAATTAATTCTGACATTTAGAATCAGAAGCTGAGAGTGAGAAATCAAGAAATACCTTCAGAACCGTAACACCGAACGCCTCCACTGAGCCACGTGTCCTCACAGCCTTCCAGGCACCCCACTAATGATAACATTTCTGGACTCGGTTTTATGGTAGTGATTGATACTCTGAAAATGACCTGTGATGGGATAATTAAATCTAATAGCATGCTGTTTCTTCTAATAGCATGCTGAGGTCGTTATATTGAAAGACCCGTGATTTACTGAGGGAAACACAGGGAGAGGTCTGAGGAACTCCATTCAAGACACAGAACCCAGGAAAACTGACCCATGATCCGTATGGACCCGGCTGGGGGAAGTGCCTAACCAACTGCAGATTTCGCAAGGATGCGAGTCCCCGTCCGGAGAGCATTCTGAAGTGCTGCAGTGACAAAAAGTTTTACTGAGGACATTTTAAGCTTAAAATAAATGAGACCACAGGAGAAACGTTAGGATCCTGATCAGAAAGAGGTTTGGGGGTGCGGATTACAATGAGGAGATGATTCAAGTCGAATCTTGTACCAAAAAAACAACAAGAAAAAAACCATCACAGCAGAGTCTGACCCAAAGCAAGGGCTCTTGGAAACCCCGAACTTCCCAGCAAAATAAACCTGTTACGAGACAATGTGATCTGGACACCACGCTTCTGACAGTCGTGTTGCTGCCTGGAAGCCAGTCGCTGTGCGCATGCTGTTCCGGGAGGTCGGGGAGAAGCCGCGGCCTCTGCGTGGTGAGGACGGTTCCGCTCGCCGCTGCGGGCTGCGGATAGGCCCTCCCTGCAAAGGAGAGCTCGTGCGAGGGCCTCTGCTCCACCATCTTAATAGTCCAGTTGCCCAGGGTCTAAAGAGGAGTCCCGCCCAATCGCAGGTGATGACAGTGGTGAACCGTCCGGCCATTCGGGGAGGCAGCGGTCTATTAAGACAGCTCCAGTTCCCTGTTTCTGTGTCTCGTTTGGAAAATGAACTGCACCAAGGAGCCTCCTGGCCTCTGCTGGAGTCTCCAGCGCTCGGTCCAGTGCTGAGAAGGGAGGGGAGATGAGGGTGTGTCCATTTGGGCTGCAAACAGGAGGGGCAGGCACTGGGGATGGGAGGCCCCGAGCGTGGTAAGTGGACAGACAGACAGAAGCAGGAGCGCCCGGCCCTGCGATGGCGGCCCCAGGCTCGGGCGGCCGGGGTGCCGGACACACAGGGAGGCAGGCACGTGAACGTGGCCTCCTTCCGGGACGGCCTCGGGAAGACCCCCAGGAATAGAGCCCGGGCAGCGGGGCTGGTCTGCTGAGTGGCAGCGAAGGCCGGGCCTCCCCCGCTCCGGGCGGGCGGCTCCTCCCGACCCGAGAGAGGCGGGGTCAGCCCGGCAGCTGGGACGCCGCTCTCGGCAGACCGCCCGCGCAGACGCCCGCGGCGCTGGGCCGAGGGGCCGGCTCTCCCCGGGACCCGGGAGAAACAAGCGGAGGCTCTGAAGGCGTCTCGGCCCCTCAAGCGCTGCACTGTGACAGCAGGAGGAGCTGTTTGCTCTTCCTGCGACGTGGCTCAGTGGCTGGTATCCTGCGACGCCGTCTCTCCTTGGTCTGCACTGACAACACAGGGCTGTGGACCAGGCGCTGGGGAAGCCTGTGGGCTGCTTAAGATGTTTCCCACGGGCAGCACTCAGTCGCGACCTGGCGGGTCCCAGATGTGACGGGGGGTTGGGGGAACAAGAGGGCCTGGGAAGGGGCTGCCAGGTAGAATGTGGAAGGTGTGGCCCAGGGCGGGGGTCTGAGCGCCAGGAAGCAGGCGGGGCCTCTCCCTGTCCAGGAGCCGAGGTTCCTCACCGGGACTCGGGGCCACGCGCCCTCGTGGTCCTTCCTCCGCCCAGATGGTCTCCCCGCCACCTGCCATTGGCTGGAGGCCGCAGCCCCTCCGAAAGCTGCCCCGAAAACCAGTCCAAACCTCACCTCCTCCGTGAAGGCCTTGCCTGTGCTTCTCTGAAACTGATTGAGATGAAATGAAGTCGTTGGCTGGAAAGTTTAAATTTCCGCTGGGAAACCACCGATGGGAACGCGCAGGCAGCATCAGGGCGGGTGGTGAGCGGAAGGTGGTCCACGGCGCCACCGGCACATTCCTGCCGGGCATCTGGAGGGTGGACGGGACCCCAGCCCCCTGAGGCGGTGGGAGTGCAGGGGCCGCCCCTGGAAGCAACGGCCAAGACAGCAAATGTGTCCAGAGGGAGGGATGGTTCCTGGGAAATGCACGGGAGCTCCAGGCCTCGCGGGCGGAATCCCACTGCAGCCCTGCAATCACCGTCCCCACAGCCGCAGCCCGGCCTCCCCACCTCTCCGGTCCCACCAGGCGCCCCACATCTGCAAGCGCCGCCCCTCCAAGTGCTTCTGGCCGAACGGGCGCTCCGTCCACGGGCCAGGCTGGCTCAGCTGGCAGGAGATGTGCTCACTTTTTGTAACATTGGTTTCTAGGCCCCGGCTCCAAGACTGGGCGTCTGGCGAAGAAGGTCTGAAGCCCCCGGGGCAGGTTGTCGGGAAGGCCTAGGACCCCCGGGGATCAGCCCACGCTGCCGTCCACCTGCAACGCGTCTCCTTCTTCAGGGGAGCCTCAGCCTTGTTTGGGGGGCTTTTCCATCGATCTGATCAGGCCTGCCCGGATTATCCAGCACAGTCGCCTTCATTTAGGGTCACCTGGTTATGAACTTTAATCACGTCCACAGAATTCCTTGGCAGGAAGAGCAGGTGAACATTTGATAAATAGCAAGGGCTGTGGCCAAGCCACACAGAAACGTCACTGTTGCCCCGCCCCTGGCGGGCGGCCTGCATGGGCCCTGCAGGAAAACAGCGGAGGGTCAGGACCAGGAAAGTGTCCCACCCTCGTAATCAAAATAAGAATGAACCAGCGCACCTTTCTGGCCGTTCACAGGCCTCTGCTGGAGCCTAATCCTCCAGAGATGGGATGGGACTGGAGACGAGGCTCCGGCAGCCAGGGCAGGTCCGGGAGGTGTGGCACCGGGTGGTGCTGGGGCTCCTTCGAAGCAAACTTGGTGCGGAATTCAAGAGACAAGAGTCCAGGCCCGGGGCCCATGTGGTACAAGGTCAGGACAAGCCGCAGCACTTTTCTGCCTCGGTTTCCCCATCTACAGAGTGGGAATGGAAACACTCAGCCCTGGGGCCGTTCAGGGCTGCCGGAAGGACCAGGATTCAAATAACTTCCTTCTCTTTACACCAAGGTGAAGAAAAGAGCAGGATAAAAGCATGGCAAGAGGCTGGTTTGAAGGAGAAACTTCCACCCCGACCTGGGCTCCAGGCCCACCTTGGTCCACCTGCGGACAGCTGGCCGGGTCACGTGTCTGTGGGGCCGGTTCCAGAGCCCCTCGCCAGCCCCGCCAGCCTCATGCACACCGCGCACGAGCTGGAGGGGCCGCCGCCCCCACCGGCTCCCAGAGCGCCGGGGCCCACGCCGAGAACAACCAGAAAGGCTGCTGGAGGAGTAAGCTGAGAGCATCAGAGAAAACCTCAGCTCAGAGGACTCGAGTGTCTAAAACCCAGGAAGGAAAGAAACGGGAGGAAAACGCTGAAGCTGGGAGACAACAAAATAGCGTCTTCAATGTGCTTAGAAGGAAGAAGGACAACCTGCAATTCTACTCCCAGAAAAAAAAATTCTTTCAAAGTGAAGGTAAAATAGAGACTTTGGAGAAGTGTCTAGGAAAAGCACGTGGAAGTGTCGCGGCTCCAGGGGAACCTGCGGTGCCGTCTCCAGGCCGAAGAGGGTGGCCTCACTCGGACCCAGAGACGCGGCCTCATAAATACACGGGGACACTCACTGCAGACGCCGAGGAGGGGCCACAGGGCCGACGGGCGGAGAGTCAGGCGCCGGACGACAAGCCGCCCCAGGGCTCGCGGCCCGTCAGGGAGGTGGCAACAGTAATGTGGGGTCCTCGGCTTTAACAGTGAGGAGATTCTCCAAGCCAGCGCAGCCTCCACACGATGCCAAAATAATGCCGAAGTAGCAAGACAAAGAGTGAAAGAAAAGCTAAAAGGAAATGCTGGTTTGATTCAAAGCGAGGCAGGAGAGGGGAGGAGGAACCCGAGACAGTGAGGCGGCACAGAACACCCGCTGCCGACTCAGCTCCAACACCACTAGCAGCACCCGGGCGGCGGGCTCCACGCTTCCATTGAAAAGCAGAGGCTGGCCGCCTCGCACCCGTGACAGCGTCTACAACCGAGGCGCAGGCGGCCCGCGGCGGGGGCGCTGGCGAGCCGTGGAGCAGGGGAATCTCATCACTGCAGGGGGACCCAGGCGGTGCGGCCCCTCCGGAGGACAGCCTGGTGGCTTCTTAGAAAACTAAACCTGCTCTTACCGTCTGATCCAGCGGCCACACTGCGGGACATCTACCCAAAGGAGCCGGACACTTACGTCCACACAAAACCTGCACGTGGATGTTCACAGCCGTTTTAATGACCGTTGCCAGAACCTGGAAGCAGCCAAGAGGTCCTTCAGTAGCTGATGGCAGGTGTACATCCGGATAATGGAATTATCATCCTGCACCGAAAAGAAATGAGCCTTCAGCCATGAAGGAAACAAAGAACTTCAGACGCACATCAGTAAGTGGGAGGAGCCAATCTGGAAAGGCTCCACACGATGCGATTCCAGCTGCGTGACATTCTGGGGGACAGTAAAAGGAAAGGCCAGCAGCCGCCCGGGGTCGGGGGAGGGCAGGGTGGGCGGAGCACAGGGCTTCCGGGCCGTGGGACCGCTCTGCGTGGAGCCAAGCGGCTAACACAGCGGGCGAGCCCTGGGTCCACAAGCGCTTTAGCGGAGGACAAGGTGGTGACACTGGCTCATCGAGTGTCAGTGTGTCACACCGAGCAGAGACTGGGGTGGGCGAGGGGAATGTTCTGTACTTTCTGCTCAGTTTTTCTGTAAACCTCCAACTGCTCTGAAGAATAAAGTCTAATGATTGAGAAATACGTATTGGACTGGATGAGCAGCAACAGAGACCTCACACCTGCCCACCTGCCTGCCTGCTTTCAGGGCAACTTGCTGCTCTTCCTCTGTCTCTGACTTCCCGATCTGCACGCCTCCTGTCAGCCTTTCTTCTTGCCCGTGCAGTTAGGAGCACCGACGCCTGCAGTCAGAAGTGCAGGTTCCTTCTAAGCATGTTTTTAGCTTCATCTCAGACTTTGGTATGTTCTGTTTTCATCATTATTTAGCTAAACCTGTTTTTCAGTCACCCCGTGATCTCTTCTTTGAACCATGAGCCACTGAGGCGAGCGTCACTCATTTTCTGAACATTGGGTAACCCTTACACTTTCTTTCAGGCGTGGGCTTCTAGCTCGATCCCGCCATCCTTAGAGAAAGTCATGTGCGTGGAATCAGATAATAACAAAACACGAAGTAAAGTACACGATACGGATCAGTATGCCCACGGCTTGGCTTTAGAAAAGACAGTTAGAACTGGGTTAGCGCTAACAGAACTGACCAAGAAACAGAGGGAAAGCACGTGTTACCAGCACAAGGAAGTGAAAATGGAGCTCTCAGTGCGGATCCTGCTGTCTCAGCAAAGTAAGAGGGTATCAATTCCTTTATGAAAATGAACTTCGACGTGTACGAAATGTGGACATACAAAGAGAATCTGAGATAATAAGCAACAAGCACCAGAACCTCGGCTCCTTCTCGGGCACGAGGCTGCGACGGTTCAGGATGCTCGCTCCGCGCAGGACCCCGCAAGGTGCCTGTGGAGAGTTGAGGTTACAAAGATAAACAAATAAGTAAGAAATATTTCATTTTCAGACAGAATTAAAGGAAACATAAGCCAGGACCTGCTAAGTCCAAAAATAAAGCTGTCTCTCAACGGGCTCTTCTCCAGTCTGCAAAAGACCCTTAAACCTGGAAAGGACCTCAGGGAAATGCTGAACCAGGACGAGGACAGCTGGACAGCGGTCTCAGAGCGCGGCTCCCGGGGGTAGCGGAAGTCCCTTTACTGACGCCTTAGACGTGGTTTAAGACACGTACGTGAAGACTTCTCAGAATCTTAAGAATGTGCCCCAAAGGCCCTTTCGACCTGACAGAACACCTGCCAAAGCCCCTCCAAGCCGGGCCCGCAGCGTCCTGACTTGTAGTCCTGTTTCAAAAAGCGTTGTGTTGTACACAGAAGACGTTTATAATCTGATACACAGGAGGTCCACAGCGCTTTAAAGAAAACGTATCAGTTAAGACCAGAAGAGGCAGAAACAGGAAAAATACAGGACTTTGACTTTGCCCAGTTTTTACATGCACGAAGCAATCTTCCGATCTAGAAGCATTTTTCGTTCCTTATGGAAAAGAAGGACATCTTAGAGGACAGAGCCAAGGGCAGGAGGGCCCCAGTCGAGTCACCAGCACCTGCGCCTGGCGGGATATCGGAGTTGCCAGGACTGGTGGCTGCGGCAAGGCCCCCACCCTCCACGGCCCCTTTGCTGGCAGGTGTGTCTGCTTTAGCCTGTGTACTCTCACCATGTCACCCTGGGTGTGAGCAGGAAAGGGCATCTGCCGTTTCAGCTGGGAGGTTTTAAGCTCAGAAGGAACCTTTGATCCCGCCCAGGGATCCTTCCCCGTGGCCTGATTTATTGAGGAGATCCTGGCTCTGAGCTGGAACCTGACGTTATAATGAAATTAAACTCCGGGGACCTTGTGAGGGAAGATGAGAGCATCTCACACGTAGGGGCCGTATATAAGCAACCTGCGGCCGGAGAGAAGACCGCAGCCGTCTCAGGATGGCGTGAATGCATTCACACTCCCCCTGTGGGGTGTGAGACCGCTGTCCCCTCTCCTTAAATCGGGATGAGGCTTGTGACGGCTTCACCTGACGGGGTATGGCAGAAAAGGTGCCAGGTTCCAGACGCGGACCTCAGAGCTAAGGGAGGAAATCTGGGTCACCCTGCCAGCAGTCCAGCTCCCCTTCTGGAGGCCCCGGGTGAGGACCTGAGACCGCGTGGGGCTGGGGAAGGACACAGCTGCCCATCAGGCACCAGTCATGTGAGTGGAGGGGCCCCGGCCAGCAGCTCACAGGCCAGGGACAAGCCACCCAGCTGAGCCCTTCCTCAGGTGCCAGCCACAAAATCTGGGGCAAAGCAAGATGGTGGCCGTAAGCCACTGTCACACCGTGTTTGAAATGTCATCCCTGCAGCGCACGGTCTTTGTTTCTCCAGGAACCTCTGACGTGAGCTCACGCTTCTCCCCTCAAGCTCCAGAAAATGAGGGTCACTGCCAGTCTACTGGGGCGACCAAGACTTGGGTGACTGGCCGAAGGTCGGGGGGCAGCAGCCTTGCTGGGGACAGAAGGCTGAGCGGCTCAGCCCCGGCTCAGCCCCGCCTCAGCCCCGGCTTGTTGTGACTCTGGGCGCCCCAGAGCCTCCCCACGCTATCGCTCGCCCTGTCGTGGGCGCCCTTCTCCCCGCTGAGGCTGTGTCTGGGACGGGACGCCCGGGAGCCGGCTTCAGACTCGGCGCCGGCACATCTTCTACGAACAGTCACTCCTGAGCCTCGTCGGGTCAGGACGCGCTACACTGGAAATGATGAAACACGCAGGTGCGCCTGTCAGATCTTTATGCCCTTAAACTGCGGACACTTAACGTCTCCTGAAGTTTTTATTTACTCGCCCCACCGTTTCCTGCAGTTTGACCGTCCAGTGATTAACCAAGACTGAAACGTCCGTTTCCCATGAATTTTGAAAGCTCCTCTACATTTCAGCAAAGTCTTACAGCAAAGGGGTCACAGGAAGTATTATTTCAAAAACTGAGAAAATAGATACGTGAACTTTCTTTTTTTCTTTTTAATTGAAGTGCAGTTGATTTCCAGTCCACAGCAAAGCAATTCACTCACACACATGCACACGTTTTCATACTCCTTTCCATCGTGGTTTGTCACAGGACATCAAGCGCAGGTCCTGCTGCTGCACAGCAGCCCTTGTTGCCGACCTGTTTACACACAGTGTGTGTGTGTCTGTTAGTCCCAAGCTCCTAATTCACCCCTCCTCCCTCTTCCCTGTGGTAGCCATAGTTTGTTCTCTGTCTGTGACTCTGTTTCATTTGTATCATGTTTTCGATCCCACATATAAGTGATCTCATATGATGTTTGTCTTTTTCAGCTGACTTCTTTACTTAAGATGACAATCGTGAGGTCCACCCACGTGGCTGCCAATGGCATCATTTCATTCTTTTCTTGGCTGAGTCGTGACCTTTCCCATCTGAGCTCGGTGTCTCGTGTGATGACCACCCCACGTGCCACCCCTCACCCCCAGTGTCCTCGGGAACCAACCGGAAGAGCAGAAAAACACCTGTGGGTTTGCTTCTCCATGTCACACCTGCCGCCCCAGACCAGCAGTGTCCCACAGAATGGATCTGTGCCTGCCCTGCTCGGCGTCATCGCTAAGACACACAGTCCTCGCAGCACTGTCCACGTCACTGCTAAGCGCAGAGGAGAGGCGCTGAAACCCAAAACTGTGTTCAGGCTTTTCGCGCTAACAGAGAACTACGTGTAAATCCTGCCCCTTTCCAGAGGCCGGTCGCTCTAGTCACTAAATGGTCGTTGCCTCAATCAGAAGTGCACCCCATGCAGAAGGCAGGTTTATTCATGGAGCAGCACAAACATTCCGGAACAAAGCAAAAAACTTCCAGCGCGGCTGATACTGTGAAGCGTGGAACCCATGACGATGAAATTGTCTAGAAAACAGCAGCGCAGATTTTCCATCTCTTTGGCTTTCAGCTGCAAGATTTGAAAAGTTAAAGCCACCTTCAGCTCCAGCTCACCTGAGCCGCTGGAGTCCTAGACTTCCAGCTGATTACAGCTTTGTTCTTAGGAAACAGCAATTCTGAGAAGCTGAAAGATATATTTTCTGTGCGGTTCATGTATTCATTTCATTGTACAACACAGCCCAGGAGATTTGAGGCATTTAAAAGAAATTTTCCTGTTTTCTCTCCCCTGCAATTGATTTCCCGCAAGACAGAGACTCTGCCATTTCGGCTGCCGACACCCGGCTGCGGGTGGGGTCCCTGCCCAGCACCCACCCGGGCTGCTCAGCGCCCCGCCCAGGCTCCGTGGCCAAGCGGCCAGCCCATCGGGTAGTGGCCACAGTCCTTCCGTCCGGGAAGGCCGGTCTGAAGCTGGGATGGGAACCACGCTGTGTGAGCATCGCCCCTCCTCCCAGCCCTGGGAGCCCAGCTCCTCCCTCTTCCTGTCCCCACGCCTGCTCCCTCCTCTCTCCTCCTCCAAGGCCTCTGGAAGGATCAAGGCAGACGCTGGACTCCTGGCCAACACGCTGGGAGTCCCAGTTTTCTGTGGAGACCACAGCTCCCACGCCCACGGTGGAATCCCCCAGGCTGGGGGTGGGGGGTTACTTCGGGCAGTCTAGGCCAACCCTGAACCTCCAGTGTCTGTGCTCAGCACCGCGGGACGGTCGTGGGACAGGCTGACCAGACAACCCCTTCACCATCCCAGTGGGGGGATGGAGGCCGGGCAGGAGGGAACCAAACAGTCACACACAGGCCAGAAACAGCCACCGC